TGCTTCACTTATAATGTTTTGTTTCAAATAAAAATTGCTTCATACACCGAGCATTGGATTTTAGGAGAAGAAGGCTGCCCCACCGAAGATGAAGATACCAAAACCAACGAAAACCCAGCAGCCACGAGTCGGTGGCAAGCGCTGATTTTGCATCCTTTTGATAGCGTTTTGTTGTTTAATTGCATAAATGTTTAATTTGTTATACGTTGTTTGACAACATTCTCTCAACCTCCATCTAACTAGTTTAAACTTGTTGTGGTATAGCTCTATTGGACTTGAAATTAATAATATACAGTGTATTTTTAAGAACTGTAGTAGAATCAAATAACTTGGGATAATATCTTTCGAGAGTTTAAAGGAAATTCAGGTTGAATTTAAATTTAGCTAAAGCGTAAGCTGCGTTCCTTCCAATTCATAATAAGATATTGAATAATTTTTTCTGCATGCTGCGCTCCGATTAAATTTCAGTTTTCTGTACTCATGTACAATATAAGTGTCACTGCATATTCTAGTAATTTTTAAAGCTTCGAAGTAAATTTGTGAGTGGAACTTGAAACAATATTCAAATATTCTGATTTCGTTCTTATTGAACTATAAAAAGAAATCGTTGCTTAATCCGCATTATTCTTATCCTGGTTCTCCTGCTGTGTTGGTGTTAATTAAAATGCCGGACGGGGGTGCGAGGCCAAAAATTACCGATATGCCAGTCGTGGTGGAACCGTCCTTTCCCATGTTCACGCCGCGTCCGTTAAAAGAGAATTTGAACAAGCAAACAGCGAATTTAATCCTCGTGAACACATCACCCTACAAACTTATCTTTAAAATTGTTCCAAATTCCGCAAATATCAACTATTCCATTCGTCCGGAAATCGATTACTTGGCACCAAATGGTTGCCGTCTTATTGGTATTTCGATAAGTGAAGCACCAGAACCAAAAAGGGTTTCTTTTGTTTGTCTGACTTTTACACATAATTAATTTATTGAAAATTTCTTTCATTCTAGTTTTCAAGCACTAATTAATAGTGCCATCCTTAAAAGTAAATAATACAATAAAGTTTAAGTTAATCAATAAAATGATCACACTACAATTACGCAATAAAATTTATTTATTTAAAGAAAAAACAATGAAATTTAGTTTAAAATTTTCATTCACTCAGGAACACGATTTCACATACAAAGTGTTAGCATTAAACCCTACGGAATGTTTCGGAATATCAGCTGTACAGTTTTGGGATCAAAACCAATTAGAGAATAATGGTTAGCTTATCGAAAAATGTATCATGATTAATTTGATGTATTTATATTTCTATAAGAAACGAAAATCTTTGAAAATACATTTCGAACATACATATTTAAATGATATCGTCCGAATTACTTGTCATTGATCAAATTTTCATTTTTTTTCTCCAGCTTTTTTTAAATAAACATCAGCCTATAGGTCATCTACTTCAAGAAGCACAGTTTGTATGTTTGGAACCAGAAGCTGAATCATCGCTTGCTTCCTCGTATCACAGCATATCACGTAGACGAATTGATAATGAACCGAAAATATCATTATCCAGTAAATATCCTAAACGAATTCGACGACATACAGTTCTGTTTGATCATGCGAAAACTTTAACTGATCCACAACATTCACCAATATATTACAAGTTAGTACTATTATATTTCGTTAATCAATATTGCTATTTAGTTAATTATTATTTCGTTTTCTAAACTACTTCCTATTATCAGTCATTGAAGTAAAATAGATTAACCAAAATTTCAGGAAGCAAACAATATCAAAAGATATTTTTCCTGAAATTATTCAATGTCCTTGTCACTGTGCAAATTCTAATCAGTACTTTTGGCAAAAGGCTGCTACAATGCGTAGCTTTTTTTACGGATTTGCATTCGCATTCATTTGTTCCGTTTTATTATTTATCCGGAAAAAATAGATGAACGGATAAAACTAAACGTTTAATGGAAAACGGATACATTATGCGATGTGAATGTTTCATTTTCAGATGAGATAAGGGCAACATGATTGCGAATATTTTTTGGAGTATTTCCATTTAATCAATATAATACTTCTCATTTATGCCGAAATAAATGCTTCAAAATAAAATTAAAATTGACTGCAACTATCAATAAAAATTTCGTTGATTTCTTTTTCTGTAACAAAATTCGATGTAATAAATTAGAAGAAATTAACGGCAATCACCTCTGACCTATATTTGAAGACTGTGCAAATTTTCCTGTAAATAATTAAGGATAATTATTTTTGAAGAGATTATACACAATTTTGTATATGTCTTAAAATTGCTGGTGGTTAACATACCAATGAATCAGAATGCAAAATACTGAGTATTAAGTAAACTCTCATTTGTATTCAAATTTGGACCGAATTTACATTTTAATTGGCAAAATATGAGTCATTTATTAAGGTATTGCTATTTGCAAAAGAGATTCAAAATTTAAAAAGTATTGTTGTTAATTCAAATCACTTGAAATTGAATTGTTTTATTAATTAGCAAATTTATAACGTTGAGGACTAAATTAATTTAGCGAAAATAAAAAAAGATGAAAAAATCAAAAAATTAAAAAAGAAAGAAATATATACTATGAAAAAAATTTTTTATTCATTGACATAACAATGAATTCAATTAAAATAATTGAATTCAAAGTTTAGTGAAGGAAGGAGAGAGATTTTGAGATTTTGTAGCCATTCCACATATAGTCAAAATGAAAAAATTTTAGGTTGGAATTTTTTTGGACATCACAAAATTGTTTATAATATACTGAAAAATAATTTTGAACTCAGCAATTTCTTTTCTTTTTGCTGCCTTTTTTCTTTTAAATTCGGATAACTAATTATTGTTAAAAATTGTGAATAATATAGTCTTTCTAATAACTTTAGCTATTCCTAATGAATTTTAATTTTTCGATTAATATTGTTAATTATTTTTGAATGTTTTTACCGGGATTATTTTCATTGCTGTCATAATTTTCATTTTCATTTAATTCAATTTGCTTTTATTGCATACCAATTCGTATGCACTTAATTTCATATTATTCAACGCATTATAGTTGTTCTTTACGATTTTATTTAATTATGTCTGTTGATGTTGCACTTTAGGATAATTTGATTTTAATTATTAGACAGTTAGGTAATAACAATTGATTTTTATTTAAATTTATTTTTATGAGCATTTCATTAACTTTTGGAAGTTCCTAGTCGTGTTTAAGCTTGTCTCCTGATTTAGATCTAATAAATTATACAATTAAGAGATAGTTGGGTTATTAACTAATCTAATAATGCTTTAATTATAGATTTTTTTTTGAATTTAATCACGAATTGATATCCAATCTTACTATTAATTTTGATAAAAAATCTTTTGTGTGAGTGCCAAAGGTGTCAAATTAACAAAATTAAAAAATTCATAAGCTAGTATGTTAACAAATATAAACTTTTGAAGTATTGAAAAAAAATTTTTTTTAATGCTTTTCAAATTCTATGAGAAAATTTGAACTTTTAAATTTTGCTATAAATTTTTTCAGTATATCTCTAAATTAGTAAAGTTTTGAATTTCAAAAGATTTTTGAAATTTTTTTGAAGATGGAGCAATTTCATATTTTGGAAATGCTATTATTCTTGTTTAAATACTTTTGAAATGAGTCATTCATTCTTCCTGCTTACCATTCTTCGGCTTCATTTACCTTCAGCTGTTCCTTATTCATTCGTTCATTCCATAGTTAGTTTTATGTTTTGTATGCCGTATTTTATGTTTTGCAAGTGTTATAATTCTATTATTTGTACATTATAAAATGTAAATTTGTTGCAAATTCATTTGAAACACTCTTTTGTTCCACGAACAGAAAATTCTGAAAAAAAAAAAAGAAGTCGTTCCAAATTGTTTAAAATTTTTCCTTTTCTCAGGAGTTTTTCATTTTATTATTGCGAGTATGTTTCAGATCATCTTATCTCTGTTTTGTGTGTCTTTTCATCACACTTCCTTGAAATGGAAAAAAAAAATTTAATTTATGTGAATGTCAGTTGTCATCAGTTAGGTGATGAAAAGTTGTCAGAAACCCGAAATTTTGTGGCAGAAAATTATTCACAGGAACAGATTTTGTATAACTGTCAATTATGACAGTTAGGCTAACGAAGTTACTCTCCCGACCATATTTCGTTAATTTCCTGTCACCGATATTCTTTATTTTGTATGCTCGAATGTCACTCACAATTATTACCTGCCAACATTTCCCGCCACGATATGTTCTCTGTCTTTCTTTTCATGTATAGCTGACGAGTGTTCAAACAATCCCTTTTTTCCCATCGCTTCTTCCTTTCTCTTCATTACAGCATATTGCCTAATTATCTCTCATAAGTCTGCATGCTCTTCTGTGACTATCACACATATCTCTGCTGGTTTCTAATGCTTTATTATGACCGCTCAGTACCGCCCAGTAGTATTGCATACATATTTACCTTCATTTATTTTGAAATAATCAAAAGATTTCTTTAATGGTGACTTTTCCTTCCGCAAAAGAAAAAGAGAAAATTAGAAACATATGAACGCATATACGCGTACATGCATATGCAAATTCGTTATCCAAAAAGCCATATGGTTAAAAATAGGAAACGAGAAGGTAATGAATTTGAATAAATTTGAAGATTAATAAATGATTAATTTTCCTGTTATAGTTTTACATATAATAATACAAAGAATATATTGAGAGGAATTTTCTGTTCTTTTGTTTATTAATTAATAAAATTTAAATATAAGTTAGATTGAGCAGATAGAAAAAAAATAAATTTATAAGCGATTAAATGAAATTTGATTGATATTTGAAGAAGAATGATCAGAGCATGTACTTATTAGAAAGAGAAGAGAAAATATTTTTCGGAAAAAAAGAAAATGAATTTTCTAAAGAGAATTCTTTTTGAGTATTAAATGCATGAGTAATAAAAAAGAGAAAAGAAAATGATGAAAAATGTTCCGAAATTTTTTTTTTTTGATTGTTAAGATCGTTCAATTTATGTTTGGTAATTTTATTTCAAATGGGAAATATTTTACACATCCATTTTGGAAATCATTTCTGCGATCATATCACAATTGGAAAATTATTCATAAAAACAGAAATGAATGCATAAATAATTAGATGAAAGAAATAAATAATTCTATAACTAAATAGGTTATTAGATGAAAAAATGAATAATTTCGGAAAATAAATGAATAAAACAAATATGAAAATTTGTAAGAAAAGGAATAAGTAAATAAGCGCATAATTTCATTGGTTAATTAGTAAATAAATGTGTTTCATCAATTATAATTTAAATTAATTTAGCCATATATATTCATTTTTTTACTATAAAATTTTCATTTAATTGCTCGATATAATTCTAATCACAAAAAATTATCACAAAGTAAGGAGCTGAAATGAATTACACACAAATAATTGCAGATTCAACTTGTACAATATAATATCGTATCCCATTTGTACCGTATTGTACCATATCCTTCTTATTATCATACGATACAATTTGCACGGTATTCCACAACATAACAATTATCATGTAAAAACAGTCAAATTTTTTTTTCTTAATTTCATTGCATTGGTCTTTTAACTACGTTGAAAAAAAAAATTGTTTACTGAAAAAAGAAATAGCTGGAAAATGTCAGATAAATAAATTTAATTTGAATAAAATTTAATTTCAAATTTTGATTAAAAAGCAGCAATGAAAAAAGTAATCAGTTATATTTTTTACTGTTAAGATTTCTTAGAAAATTTTATTGCCCATTCCTTCCGTTTTCCTATTTTTAATTAAAACGTTTTTTTTTGCATTATGATACTCATGGAAAATCATTCGTCGTATTTGATATTAACATAATATTAAACTCCGCTACAATTATCTTTGCAAAAATATTTTGAAGTTAATAATTGCAAAAATCGATTTTCTTGGTATATTTTTATCAAAGATGTGCTAAAGTATATTTTAAAACCAAAAATTTCAATTTTTCAACATATATTTAACGTATTTATCACTCTGTCAGTTTGTGATAAATTTGTTTAAAAAAAGGAAAACAAAAAAACTTGAAGAGTTTTTTTTCCTTAGCTGTTTTTCTTAAATAGTAAAAATGTATAACTTAAATGAAATTATTTGCAGAAGCAACAACAAGAACAATAGTTGCATAAATTCTTTGGCCATATTGTTAGCAATATGGCCATGAACTTCACAGGCTGAAATCTGATAAATAGAACATACAAATTTTGCTTGCACCTAGCTTTTCTTGTAAACATTAATTTAAATTTATGATACCAAAATTCGAATACAGAAAAATCGACATACCAATCAAAGGACTGACAAATCTTTGATGCAATCTGAATTTTTAATTTTAATTTTAGGCTTTTTTCTTGCAACAATGTTTCAAAAGCAAAAATATGCAACAGTAAAAGTCAAGTGCAGATGGATATGATAGTGTTTCAGAAAATATTATGAAGTATTTTCAATCGCAACGCTTTATCTTCACGGTCAACGCATCCATAGAGTTATTGTTCAATGGTCAAATATCGAATTTAATTTCAAAATTCAAGCACTGAAATCTCCAAATGTAATTTTTCCCTTTTTTGCAAGTTTTTGACAAAGTAGTGAGAGAAATCATAAACAATGTAAATTACAAAGTCTCGATTATCAAATTATTTCCTTTTACTCATTTTTATAATCTGTATGTAATGGAAAGTTCTTATAGAATTAAAACTTTAAAATTTTAAAGCTTCTATTATTTATTAATTATGTAATTAAATTAGATTCAAATTTAAAGTTGTTTTAATTCGAAATTCATTAGCAAACAGATCAAATTGATGAATTGACAAATTGAAATTCTTTTTTCTTTTCTTTCAAGCAAAATGACTAGAAAAAGCGCTGAGCAAAAGAAATGGGATTGAGGTTATT